ACATATTACAACAAATGAGAAGAGGAAGATATCAATTAATTGAAAAAGAGTCTGAAATTGAGAGATATAATAGATACGGAAGGCAAATTGCAAACTTTTATAATAATAGACAAGTTGTTCTACTTTCAAATAATAATACCCTTGCAAACAACATTGAAAGACTCAATCAAACTCTAATGGAAAATGATAGAATTAAAAATGATCTAGTCAATCTGAGGAAACATAGATATAATACTTTACTATATGACATTCTTGAAAATGAAATGAAAGAAGATAATGATAAACAATCATTCGAAGATGGTGAAAAGTATAATCAGTTAATCCAAACCTTGGAACAAGATTTTCTAGATTCACCATGTACTATAGAACAACTACAAGAGTTGAGAAAACAACTGTTTTCAGAACGAAAAATAAAATTAAATTGAAAAAGAATAGATAATGTGAATGATGCTTTCAATTCACTATTTGATGAAAAATTAAAATATAAAAACAAAGTATCATGTTTGATACGAGAACTGCTGCTAGGTTATATAGAGAAATATCCTTATGGAGATTACATCGAAACATTATTAGATGGTGATTATTTTGATAATGAAATAAATAAATTAACAGACTCAAATAAAAAATATATTCTACAAAACCTTCGTAGAAGAACTGCTGAAATCTATAAAGATAAAGAACAAGACCAATATTTTATTGATAAATCAAATAAACAATTTTATTCAATATGTGATATTGAAGATGTAAATGAATTTGTTAATAACATAATCAAGAAAAATTATCTTTACAAACAGATAAAAGAAATATTCGATCAAGAAGATGATGTGATAAATTTCAGCAAAATGGTTGAACCAAATGATAATGAACGAACTTTTTTCAAAAAAATCAGACTGCTAGTAAAAAATCAAATACATTTAAACATAATTGATAAAATCTTAGGAAAAGAAGATAATTTTGAGCAACCAGATAATAAAAAACAAAAACAAGCACCTAGAAAAATGAAAAATATAAGAGAAGACATCAACATAATTATTTCCAAAACAAAACCATTCCTAATGAGACAAGGTTATCAAACATTAGATATAAAAATATGTGTAGAAGAAATTCTAAAATTATATAAAGCTATCATAATTGTCTCTGATAAAGAAATTAGTTTTTTGAGAAGCTTGTTGTTAAATAATATCATTAAATACCCAGATCCATCAATATTTAACAGATACGATATAAAATCAGAACAAAATAATGAATTCTTTATTAATTTAAGAACAATAACAAAACAATATTTCCTTAATATAGTGTTCAAAATTCTAATCAAAAGAGACAGAGATCTTAGATTAGATGAGAAAATAGGAATCATCTTTGATGATACTGAAGTTTAACATATTATGAGTACATCTTTTGCAGTTACAGAGATTCAATGCAAAATAAAAG